ACCTAGCCCCGCCCCCGGGCGCCCGCGCGGCGTCCGCGTTCCGCCTCCCACCCTCGCGGGCCGCCGGGCTTTCCCTTGTCCCTCCGGGAAGCGCCTCCCGACGCGGCTCAGGGGGGGACGGCGCAGCAGGATCGCGTAGCGCGGCGCTTCGAGGCCACGAAGGTAACTGGGCGCAGAGGCAGAGTTGTGCCGCACATAGAGCCGCCCCTTGCATACACACACTCACGGCCGAGCGTCCCCAGGACAGCCAGGGCCGCGAAGGCGAGCGAGGAAGGTGCGGGCAAGGAGGGTCGGCGTTTGTCTCCTCCTGCTTGCCGTAGGACGTGGACTGCTGGAAGCCCAAGAGTGGAGTGGCCTTTCCCAAACCTGGAGTCTCCCCGCCCCCTGCTTGGCAGGCCCGTTACCCGAACCCTGGGATCGCCGCCACCTTAGGAAATAACTCTGGGCTTGTCACTTTGAGTCACTGCTGCCTGGACACCCTTTGTCCAAGAGAAGTTAGCTTGCCCCTCACACTTGACTTTTGCGAAATGTGGCAGTGGAAGGCCGTGCTTTGAGTCCTTTAGGCTGGCTAAGCGGTCATCGTAAAGACCCTCTCCTCAGGAGGTGGGTTTTCTGCAGCTATCATGCCAGGGAGGAAGAGCGTGGGCGGAACCTGGTGTCCACATGCGGTGCGTGAGCTGTGCCAAATGCTTCACCACGTTACCTTTTTTATTTAGCCCTCACACTAAGCAAGGCGAACGAACTACGAAGCAGCTGCTGCCTTATTTTAGACAACCCAGTTTTTCTGGTGCTGAATCTCAACCTTTTCCTTTTGTCAGGTGCAGGCAAAAGTACAGAGGTGGGGGCAACACACAGGCATTAATTTTTAAATGTAGATAAGCTATCTCTAAGCCAAAAATCTAAAGGCGGTGTGAATTATACTCATCCCCATACTCCCAGGGTTTATTAAGCTAATTTAAAATCCTTTGAGATGAGAGGAGTTAAGACTCATCCTTTTACTCATCCTTAACCTCCCACCATCATAATTAGCCTACTTACGCTCTTACAGTCCAGTAACATTTTCCCTCATCCACCCGTAGTATTCACATTCATTCACCAAATTCTGTAGTGAGAATTTGTTTGTGTTTTAACAAATAAAGCTTGCCTGAAGATCAGAGTACAGAGTTAAACCACTACAGGCCAGGCAGTGGTGACACACACCTTTAAATCCAAGGACTAGCAGAGGAAGAGGGAACTCTGTTAGTTCAAGGCCACGCTGGGCCACACTAGATTGAATCTGTCTGAAAGGGAAACAGCTCTCTCACAAAGGTGATCCTAGCACAAGGGAGGTGGAGACTCGATCTGGCTGGGCTGAGAAAGGAATATAAGGCAAAAGGTACGGGAGCTCAGTGCAGTCTGAGGTTTGATGGAGACAGTTGCAGTTTGAGGACAGGATCGCCCTTTTGATCTGAGCATTGGTAGAGGTGAGAACTCTCTAGTAGCTGGCCACTCTGCTTCTCTGATCTCTCAGCTTTCACCTCCTAATATTATTAAGACCAACTAGATCAGCACTCTCACTGTGCTTTATGCTTGCTTGGCACCTGGCCCCCTTCTTTTTTTCCCAGTTTCTCTATTTTGGTATGAAACTATTCTGTGTATGTCCTGCCATTGTTTCCTGGAAGCATGTAACTTGTCTGGTTCTTAGCTGGAGAGAATTTTTGCCTCAGGATGACTCACCCCAAGTCTCACCCATACATAACTTAGATAATACAGACTGAGTACCTCTTACCTGAAATACTGTGACCAGAAGTGATTCAAATTTTCTTTTTCTTTGTTTTGTTTTATTTTGATTTATTTTGTTTTGGGGGTTTTGTTTTGTTTTGTTTTTGAGATAGGGTTTCTCTGTATTTCTGGCTACCCTGGAACTCTCTCTCCTGTAAACCAGGCTGGCCTTGAACTCAGAGATCTGTTTTCCAAGTGCTGAGACCAAAGACCACTACCTTATGTCCTGGGAGTGAGGGTAGATACTGGCATACACCTAGAGAGGTATCTTGAGGATAGAACCCAAGTCTAAACACAAAGTTAATTTATTTCATATGTACCTGTTTTGGGAAATATGTCCTAAAAGTCATTTCATACAATAGCTTTAATTTTTGCATAAAGCAGGGTTTTATAATGTGAAAATTTCCACCTATGATACTGTGTTGGTAGTCCAAAACTTTCAGCTTTTGCAGCATTTCAGATTTTTTTATTAAGAATGTTCAATATCTCTTTATCTTGTTTTAATTTGGGGAAATTTTTTTATTAGTTGTTGTTATTTTGCCCCCCCCCCCCCCGGGTGGAAATCTCACTGTATTGCCTAGACTGATCTCGAACTACTACTACTGGGCCCAAATGATACCCTCCAAACCCTCAGCCTCCCAAATGCTGGAACTGCAGGCTAGTGGCACCCCATTTAGCCTGTATTTAGTTAGGTGGAATTGTGGATTTAGAGTCCATGTGAACATGGATGCTCTGGTGACCTGGGCAGAATGCATTTTTCCTTTGAGGGGAACATAAATCTGATGGTCTGGAGGACAAAGTTGTGTGGGTTGAATTAGGGTCCTTTGAAATTAAGATTTTAATCTTCAAAGAGGTCAGCTTCAGACTGTGCTATGGCAACTCTAACCAACTAGTAGAGACATCAAAAAAGTAGGAATATATATATGTGTGTGTGTATGTATGTATGTATGTATGTATATGTATATATATGTATATGTATATATAGTGTCCCGTGCCTATAGTTTCAGCACTCTGAAGGCTGAGACTTGAGTATCAAATCAGCATGTGCTAAGTAGTAAACCCTGTCTCAAAATAAAATAAAATGGAGGCTGGGGGAGCCTACAGATAAATGGAAGGACAAAGTGAAGTTAGGAAACTATTTGCAAACATATCTCTCCCATATCTAGAACTCAACAATAGAAAAACAACCCACATTTAAAGAATGAAAAAATAATCTGAATAGATATTTTTCCAAAGATATCTAAATAGCCAAAAAGAACTTGAGAATTTGCTCAACGCCTTTAATCATTAGAATAAGTTCTAGGCCAGGTAGAGAGAGCAAAACACTGTCTCAGCACTTTGGAGGCTGAAATGGCAAGATTGCCATAAATTTGAACCCAGGCTGGACTACAAAGTGAAACTCAGTTATCAAAACAATAGATGATGTAACTCAGTAGCAAGAGGCCCTGAGTTCAATACCCAATACTAAAAGCAACAATGTAATCTAACAAATAAAGCTTGCCTAAAGATCAAAGTGCAGAGCTAAACCACTAGTTAGCCTTAAAGGCCAGGCAGTGGTGGCACACACCTTTAATCCCAGGGCTCAGGAGACTGAGGCAGTTGGATCTCTGAGTTCAAGGCCACCCTGGGTCTAAAAGAGGTACAGAGCTCATGCAAAGGTGATCCCAGCATTTGGGATCACGTGCCTCCCAGCGCTAGGGAGGTGGAGACTGGAGTGATGTGGCTGGGTGAAGAGGAATACAAGGCAGGAGGAGACAGCTCATTGCAGTCTGAGGAGATAGTTTAAGGACAGGGTCGCCCTTTCGGTCTGAGCATTAGTAGAGGTGAAAGCTCCAGTGGCTGGCCGTTCTGATCTCTCTCAGTTTTCATCCCTGATAGGTGACTCCAGATGTTTATTATTGAGACCAGTTATAATTTGTGTTACACAGCAACAACAACAAAGTTCTCTAAAAAGCTATGCTCACCACTAATGCACATATCTCATGTGAGAACTAAGTATGACCCTTTCTTGTCTGTGGGCAGATTGGAAATAGAGCTTTTATTGTGGGTGAACACACATACAGTTAAAATTAAGACCTACAGCCAAGTCATGGTGGTATACACTTCTAATCCAGTCACTTGGGAGGAAGACAGAACCAGAAGAACCCAACCATTAAAAAAAAGAAAAATTTAGTGTATTGTTCTGTAATCCCAGGACTCACAAGGCTGAGGAAGAAGACACAGAGTTGAGGCATATCTGGGCTAGATAGTAGACTCTATCTAATAATAATAATAATAAAACAAAAGTTGATGGTGGTATGTTAACAAATTGGTAGAAAACTGATTATGAGAGAGAAATTCAAATGTTTGCCAGACTTACTGAAATTTGAACCAGAGAGATTTGGACCAGCTCAGTGGATAGAGTTGCTTGATGCCAACCCTGACGATCTGAGGTTGAGCCCTAGGACCCACATCATAAAAGGAGAGAGCCAACTTTTCAAGTTGTCCTCTGACTTCACCTGAACACACATACTCACACATACATAACACACAAAATAAATAAATGTAATAAATATTTAAAAGAATTACTAATCTTTAAAACTTCAATCATGCCAAGCAGTGGTGGCACATGCCTTTTATCTCAGCACTCAGGAGACAGAGGCAGGTGGATCTCTGTGAGTTTAAGGCCAACCTGGTCTACAGAGCAAATTCCAGGACAGTCAAGGCTGTCGTGTAATAACACAGAGAAACCCTGTCTTGGAAACAAAACAACAAGAACCAACAAACAAACAAACAAAAAAAACTACTTAAATCACATTAGATGCATCTAAGAACAAATAAGGTAGAAGATCCAGCTAAAGAAGGTTATCTAAAATGCTGAACAAGCTGAGTGGTGGTGGCGCACGCCTTTAATCCCAGCTCCCAGCACTCGGGAGGCAGAGGCAGGCTGATCTCTGTGAGTTCGAGGCCAGCCTGGTCTACAAGAACTAGTTCCAAGACAGGCTCCAAAACAACACAGAGAAACTCTGTCTCAAAAAACAGAAAATAAAAAGTAAATAAATAAAATACTGAGTAAAGAAATCAAATGAAAAGATGCAGATTAAAGACACAAAAACAGAGTGTGGTGGTGTAGTTTGTACTTCCCATACTGTGGATTCTGAGACAGAAGGCAAGGTCTGCTTGCCTACAGAGTGCAATAAAGTGGGCTACTTAGTGAGACTTTTTTGTTTTGTTTTGTTGTTCTTGTTTGGTTTTGGTTTTTGAGAGTTGGTTTTTCTGTGTGTCTTTGGCTGTTCCGAAACTCACTCTATAGTCCAGGCTAGCCTCAAACTCACAGAGATCCTCCTGCCTCTGCCTCCCGAGTGTTGGGATTAAAGGCATGCACCACCATGCCCTGTGTGAAACCCTTTCTTAAAATAAAA